CCTATGCGGATTTATAAATAAACTATCCGTAAAGTAATTATACTCGGATAGACTTTGATTATCCGTCAGATATCCGGTTTAAATTAATCAGTTACTATAAATAATGATCATATTATTTGGTCAAAGATTTAAAATCAGACTAGGAAATTAAATTTATTCGAAATTTAACTTTAACTTCTGGCGTTCTCAAGCAGCTACCTCAATGAATTCGATAAAAAATCTGATTGGCCTGTTTGATCAAACTAGCCAATAAGATTCGTTATTGAGTCCATTGATGTAGGTGCTTGAGAACGCCCTTAGGCTAATCTTAAATTTTTGACCAAATAATTAAGCTATAAGGCATCTGCATGACTGATAACGGATTTGGTAACATGTTTATATTGCACAAAATTTCTTTTTTTTTACACGTAAATGTTATTCTATTTTTTGTGCAATTTGTACAACTCATTGTTAATTTTGTGCAAATAACAACACATGCACAACGACTGTCCAAATATGTACATATGTGGTCACGTTTTATGTATACATATGGTCACATATGTGACGCCATATTTTTTTAAAACTTCTAGTGATGGTTTCTCAATGACTACTGAGTCAAATTCGGTAATTTTTATTTTATTTTAATCCTATAAACTTGTAGAATGAAAATAAAGAAAAATTTTATTAAAATTGGTCTGGAAGCTGTCGAGAAATATATTCGTATAGAATTTTAAAAAAATGTTAAACATCTTAGAAAAACAAGGCTGCAATTGTATTTTTTTAAAACAATACAATTGCGGTCTTGATTTTCTAAGATGTTTTTAGCATTTTTTTAAAATTCTATACGAATATTTCTCGACAACTACCAGATCAAATTTAATATTCTTTTTTATTTTCATTCTACAAGTTTATAGGATTAAAATTGACCCAGAGCTAGAAAACACATACAGTATGTACCCATATGATATACATAAAACGTGACCAAATATGTACATATTTGCACATCACATTTTTCAGTCCAGAGATATAAATTTTTTCTATTTTTAGAGCATTGTATTATTGAAATTTATTATTAATTTGGCGTGGGACAATATACCAAAATTTTAATTAGAATTAAAAAGTGCTAAATGGTGGTTTATAGTCCATTTTTCATATTAGATAACTAAGATTTTATAATAAGATTTTATATATTTTTATATATATTAAATTCCAATAAAGAAACAAGTCTATAACCGGTCCATATCGATATATATATTGTAAGCCATATAAAAAATTCGTGTTTACGTACTAACGTTGAATAGCAAATAAATCTCAAATACTAATCCGGAAAGATATTTAATTTTATGCACATAATCTTATAACCAGATTCGTTAAATAATTTTTAATTGTTATTAAAATAATTGTTAAATAATTTATATAATTTAATTTATTTAACTAGATCAGCAATAATAAATTCTACGAAGCATTAAGGCTCGATGTAAACTTTTCATTGGTAGAAATACAAAGCAATGTGACACTAATATAAGATTTGAGTACTATGAAACCAGGAAATCATTGTTGATGAGATTTACATACATACGTTCTGTACGTACGTACGTATTTTCGCATGGCGATTCTCATAAGATTATCATAATCATGTCTTGTCGAATGTTTATTAGAATATTGTAAATGTTAAAGTATGTAAATTACATATCGATTGATACCTGTTTTTTATACATGATACACATTTTACAAGAATAAAATTCAAATATTTAAATTATAAAAGCATAAATTATAACTAGATTCTACAATAAATTCATTTTTACCAATTAGATGGAATAAAATATAGGAATGATCGATTTTAGATAAAGTGCATCATTGCTGCCGCCACTACAATAAAGCTAAATAGAAGTTTGTCTGATCCAGTAAAGCCTATTTTAGGCCTAAAAATAGCATAGTAAAAATAGATTATTTATAGGCTTTAAAATCTGTTTCGAAATCGTAAAATACTTACGGAGCAGCATTAGCTTTGGTAGGGCTAGGAGAAGAACCGGAGGAACCGGAGGAGCCGGAAGAACTAGTTGTACCTGGACCCGAAGCTGGAGTAGAGCCAGAAGGAGTAGAAGGAGCAGAGGAAGTATTACCACCAGGACTAAAGACTTGGAAACCTGCCGTGTCCTTATCACCAGACCCATCGTTAAGAGCAAGGTAATAAGTGGCTGGTGGGACATTGACCGTCCATTGGTAATTTTTAGTAGAGAGAACTATTGTTTTGCTAATTATGGTTGTATTTTTGGTTACGCTGTCGACAACAGACAAAGTGCCTGGGAGTGGATTCGTTTGCTGGGTATATTGCCAGGTGATTGTAATAGTGGCACCAACTGCAACACTACCACCAGGCGTGTTAATCGATTGAACCTCTGAAAATATAAGTTTAACATTATTAATATATTTAATTCGAATTAACCTCCTTTCATGCTTTTTAGGATGTTGTTCCGGTTACTAGGTTTTTTTCGCTAAAGATTATACTGTACATAAACTAGAATCATCTACAATCATAAAATTATTTTAACTAATAATTTATAATAAATTTAGAAGCAAGTTAAGTCTAATAACATCCCTACATAGCGATAGCCCTTTTATCAAGTTTATCAATTTCACATTAAATAGTAAGCAAAAAAAAAACAACTTACGGGCTGAAGTAAACCCGGTAAAAATTAAGAGTAATGTAAGAAGAATAAGTCGTGACATAATTAATTGTTTCTTCTTTTTCGTTTTTTTTTTTTTAGATTTAGTATTCGTTCTCGTGAATTAATGTAAAATCGTATTTCCGACAGGTCAAACGAGGTATTTATATAAAAAAAGATGTTAATTGAGAAAAATTATTGTAACCATAACGATAAATAATAATTCATACTAACTTAAAAGATTCTTAAAATATGGAAGATTTGTAGTCAGCGTAGCGGAGGACATTCTAAGTTTAGTCAAAGTGATACGAAAGTTACGTTTTTGATGTATTATGGTATATAATTAGTATTATCGTGTCAAAAAGGTAGTTACGAAAATGATATTTCACACCTATTTTTATATTTTTAGAGTAACAAACATAATATTGCGTGTTTATTTACGTATTCAATGATCAATACGTAGTATTACGTTTATTTACGTGTTACAAGCTTTCACAATCGAGTCTACGCATGCTGCAGAGTAAACGTCTCTACAGGATGGGTGTCAAAACAAAAAAACAATAGGTCTTAAAATTTTACCGTTAACCACTGTATACAGTATCCCCCAAAAAATATTCACCATCCCTATCATCCTGTTTCTTGAATAAGGTCCGAGGGTATAACATTCAATTTTAAAAATGGAGCTCCCTGGGTACTGTATACAGCGGCCAACGGTAATTAGGAAACCACCTTCTGCGGCCTAATTAAAAATGATCCTTGTGAAATTTTACTAATAGACTCCACCGTTCTAACCCTAACCCTAATGCGCTTTTCTTAGCTTTAATTTTACGCGCAACTTTTTACTTAGAAAACAAAGTACGTTTTGACTATTACGTTTCACCTGATTCTAAATTTCGATTAATAGACTGATGATTAGGTTAATAATTTTCGTGTTACGTACGTATGACAAGAGTTTTTATTTGATTTTTGGTTTATTTAAAATTATATATATATCTGATATATATATATATATATATATATATATATATATATACGTACAGTATGTATGTACATATACAGTATACAGAAAGATTTTCTAATTTTATGTGATGCTAAAAATTTTTAAATAAGAACAAATTAGACCAATTTGTATACGTAGTATACATAACTATTAGATACAAGTATGTATTTAAAATGCGATATAAATGAAACTATAAAAAAAATAATAATTTTTTAGTTTTTTTTTTAATTTTGATTAGCATTTTTAACACCCAAACTGGAATATTAATATAATTATATTATAGTATAAAATATACAAAAAAGCAATAAATAGAATATATAAACAATACATATAAATATACTGCTGTAATTTTCAAATAAATTAATTAATATCTGTGTTTATATACTAGTGTAGATTTAGAAATTTTCTTAATAATAATACAGTAATAATAATATAATATATATACAGTATAAATAAAATTTATTATTATATAATTTTTTAAAAATTGTTTGTATAAAGCTAATTAGTTAATTTTTTGGTTTTTATAATCTGGATTTATTGTGCCAAAGCTCTTATAACTAGATGGTGTAATCAAGATTACAGATATTCTGAATCTGACTAATAATTAATGGTTCTACAACAAAATCCTGAAAACCATTTTCCTGAAAGAACATAATACCGATTAAATTGGCCAGCATTATAACTAATGCCGGCTAACTTTGTCAGTGTTAGATTCTTTTGGGAATCTGTCTTTTAGAATTTTGTGATAAACTCTAATTGATAACTGTTAATCATAGCACAGGCTATTTTTCAAAATTATCATTTATGAGATTTGAACTCTAGACCTGCCACTTGAAAAGGATGATGACTAGATCACTACACTAAGTCACCACATCTCTTATTTTTTATTTTATTTTTTTATTTTTTTTTTTAATGTTAATGATATTTTTTTTTTTATTTAAAGTGTTTTGTTAACAAAAAATACTATATTTTTTTTATATAAAAGTATTACCTGCTAGTTATTTTGTATAATAACACTTTTGGTTTTCTTTGATAGAAATTTTAAACTAAGTAATTATTAAAAAATATTGTTTTAAATTAGTTGTATATTATATAATATTATTATACAATATTAGGATACAAAAAAAAAGCCTTAGCCAAATACTGAATCTAATTTAATTAACCTTTTACATAAAGTTGAAACATGGTATACTTACTAGATTAAATATCTAATCCACCTATCTCATATTATTACTAACACTCAAATCTAGATAAGTCTTGGCCACTCTAGTTGGTTTAGGCCACAGATAAAAAACTAGGCTTGTCTATTAGGCATTTTTAGTTAATTTAAGTTCTTATTCTTAGTATTAGGTTTATACAATAAAATTTTTTTCGATTTTGTAAGAAATTTTAATTAAATTTCACTATTAATATTAAAAAAACAATAAACAAAAAAAAAAGTCTAATTAATTTTAGAATTTTTAGACTATAAAATATATTAGCTAATTTGAGTTTTTGAATCTTTTTTTCAATAAACTGTTATACAAAAATTTGCTTCTAAGTAATATTAAAACATCAGAAAATTTTTTATATAGATACATATCGATAAATAGCAAAACATCGATATATATCGATAAGATAAAAACGGCA